TTTCCACATTACTTGTGCCGTTCGAAGTATAACTATAGAGGTTCCATTTGAGTCATCCCTCGATGAATGTACAAGACGCTATACGACATGTGAACTAAGAGTAGTGACCCGGAGGATATATGTTGACAAACTAAGTTTCGAGGCTTACAAGAAAATAGAAGAACGTATCATGCATCGAGTACCTTATATACCTGTCTCACAATAGTGACTTATTCTTTAAACAAAATGAGTATAAACCTGTTGAGTCCAGAAACGACAATACAGCTTCTCTGAATCACAATCCAAAGGGTCTTGTTTCTAATGTGTTATAATTTCGATATATATGTATACCTCCCAAATGTACTAACCAATCTAGCTCAAGAGGAGCCTCTTTGAGGGTCAAAGACAAACATATCATAATAAGTATACATATGTAGTGCAATTGTGTATGGTTAAAACTTTCTTGTTGGGAGAGAAGCACATATGACGTACCTGTAAGTGTGTTATAGCAGATATCTACAGTAACACACGTTGAGAATTGGATAACTGAGAATCAGAAATCAACAAACACACTTAATCAGGAATCAGTGACCGCTTAACTTTAAAAGACATGTGATGTGATTGAGCTATAGAGGCATATCAATTGCGTCCCAGCATATAACAGTAACCACAAGATCAAAGAATTATCCGGGTTGAAAATATCTCACCACACACTGATAATAATATTGATGAACACTTAGAAGAAACCATTGAACTGAGAGCGAGGCCAATACCATATGGTATACACGTAAAAGATACTCAACAAATAAACCAATCGATAGGCATGAGAATTTCTACCAATATCATAATGTGAGGTTACACTCTCAAAATGTCACTATCATCTCCCAAGACTGAGTCACTTTCACGCGTATGGGCGATTATCAATCGATCGTCATCAGATAGTAGCATAGGTATGATAGTCGATACAACTATAAGAAAATTACTAAGCCACACATGGCATAATGAGAGTGGGTCCGCATATACCTATACGCAAAAAGAATTCGAAGCAAATGATGGATCGATTTCAATTAACTCCTAATATGGGCATACAATTGGTCTTATTCTACAACTTATAAATATCTTCTATTGATTAGTAATTTGTACGGTGCTTAATCTGCACACCCATTTAAAGATGTAGGACTTAGTGTAATTCATGCTCATTTCTTATACTCCGTCAAAATCTTCCGCCTTCGAAATGAATATCTATGGCCACACTACATTGGAGTGCTAAATCGACCGGAAGTCAGACATATTAAAACCAAATTGAGAGAAAATGTAAGTCTGTGGCCACAGCAGATTGGTTCCCCTGATTCTATTATACTCGCAATCCTAGATGTACATCTGTGACCTCCTCAGTTGTAACACCAATGTTCATGTTCATCGGGTACCATCCGCCAAACATAAGCTTAATCGTTGTGAATAGAGGATAACTGCATATTACATGTAGGGTTAATGTAGATAAGCGATCTCACCACTTTAGTAATTGCCTGCATCATAGCACATGATGAGTTAATGAGTAGCCACATTTAATGCGCTACATATTGACATATTTTAAGTATGAAGCGGATCACTGCATACAAAACATGAATAAAACCTTATTCTCTGACTCATAGTAACAAACAAGAACATTACGATTAGCAAAGAATTGTGCACATAAATGATTTTCACAAGATTGCACTAATACTTACTTGGTTCACGCATAACAGTAAAGCGAGTCAATATATGATACATGCACCAGTATAGAGCTTATATTTTTATAAAACACCAATTACATTAGAATGCAGGAACGATGGATTTAAAAAACATCTATTTAGCAAGCTGAGAGGAATGATTATGATTAGATGGATTTTTGCGTTCTGATTGGTAGCTAGTGCTGTGTTAACAAACCACCAGTGGACAGTCAATTCATCACATCCGTATGATGTTGTAGTTTACCGCCCTACATATATCACTATACATGGATTGTTACCAGCAACAATATTAGATAGACTAGTATTATCAAACTGGATCGACCTTATGTGGATAGCGAATAAAAGTCGAGAGTAATAATAAATACTGCTTTAATACTATTATATCATTTAAGACTAATAAATAAAGTAGATTATATTCGTGCAAGCTACGTGAGCAGGATTCGCTTTACACAATATTAAACTTATGAGCATCCGAGATAGACCAATGACAGCATTACACCGCTAGTTTGAGTGCAGGCGAGAAGCGCAAAAAATTTAATCAAGTGGTAGATGCGAGATCGCTGTAGCGACATCGTGAGAGGTCGTAGGTTCGCGATTAGAGGGTACATGACACCTCATACTAACACAACAAACTAATAGGTAGCACAGCACATCACGTATATTGACGCAGAGCTATTCGAGTTTGTTGTACTAAAAGATACCTATCCTAGCCTTGCTGAGAGACCAAATAGCGAACACATTACAAGTCTTGCGTGTTATCTTTTAGCACAGCCTCTCGGGAGTAAAGTCCTCGCACAACTCCAACAGCACGCACTATGTCTGCTGGAAAATCGCAGCTAGCACAGCGAATCGTCGTATCAAGGTCAGAACAGAGCGAGCATAAACTGAGACAAGGGAGTTGTTTCAGATGGCGCAATTCGCTCGGAGCTCTGTACAACCATCCAATTAAACCACAACTCTCGACCTTCTTATTAGTTTCGATACGCGACACATTTATACTTTAAGCTATGTCCCACAACCACGTCATGAGACTAAATCGTCTCTCCACCGCCATCCAACCGAGCCTTAAGTCACACTCCATGACACTATATCTACTAGCCTTCTACACTTGTCCTCTCCTTAAAATACGACCGCTTCAGTGAAGAGCTAGAGCAGATAGAAATAGAACGGAGTATCTTCGAGTAATTCATCCTACACGCCCGTGAAGTCTTTTTCTAAACCATCCTCATGATATCCTACTCATCGCTAGCCCACTTGTTGCCTTGTGCGTATCTTATCTTGTGCGAGAGAAGGCAGCACACCACTAGTTGATCGAGTCACATAATACGTAAGAATATCACAGCAGAAGATATTTGCTTTTCTTCAGATAACTATTCCTATGCATCACTCAACCCTTTTGAGTACGTACTTTGTTCTTTCTTGCGGCACTCAATATCCGGAGCAGGTACAAGTATTGTATGTCTTTTCAGGCCACGATCATTGATGCTTTAATGACCAATCATGTAAGTTGGTGGAGAATAGTCGAAGATTCTCGTCAAGTTGACTGAGGTTGGAGGAATTTCGCAAGCCGGAAAGCGCGTGATTTTGATGAATTATAGAGGCTTGTTGTGTATACGTTGGTGAGATTTGAAAAAAGGTCATAAATGTTGGCATGGTGTATGAGTTTGATTACCAAATGGTGCGACGTACGGCATTAAGAATAAAACTAATGAAGGGAATTTGATTATTGGGTTTCAAGAAAACAATCTAGTTTTCGATCAGAGTCGAGGGGGTGTATGCGGACAGGTGTTACATCGGAAGATCATGAGGCGCCCAGTATCGGCCTCTCTATGCTTTCCGAAGTAGTGAAAGTGGCGAGATTGCTCGATCCTTGATCCTGTCCTCTTGATTCTTGTATCCATCCACTTTCTGCAGATGGATAAAGGTAAAAGCATACAAAAGTGAAAATTATGACCATCCACAAGGAGATTACACAAGTAAATAATTATGGTCTTTCAACAGTCTTTTGTACATGATTTCTATAAGTTGTCATGTTTAAGTGTACTAACTGTTGATCCATATTTAATCCTGTGAGACCAGTTCTGTCAAAACCTTCCTGCAAGTAACGATGCAAATATTAGGTAGAAAGGGAAGGAACGGGAGGGAGTCAACTCTTGTAACAAGTATTGATTTATATCGATGTCTATTATTTAATGAGGTGGAGATCAAATGGACTAACAGTTGTCGCACGGCAGAGAGATCTTTTCGAAGATTGTAGATAATAGGGTGTTCCGGAATTACTTAGTGCACAGTATAACACTTGAATTGAGATTCTCCTAACGAGTTCGCGGTAGTAGGTTTAATTGTCACCCCAAAGTCTTTAACAAGAATTGATGAGTAGTTATGTCTGCCTTCGTTATGCAGGCAGTTTTGTGAGCAGGCATTGCGTGCTGCATCTTGAATCTTCGAATTATCACGAGTAAGAGAGACATATAGTTTGTGGATTATCGGACTATAATCAGTTTCCGCAATGCCCACAGGACTGTCAACAGTCAATTCATCAGAGGCAGACTATTCAGCGTGAGAGAGACAAGTAGATGGCATTCTTACGAGAGAGTCAGGCCAGAACAAGATGGTTATAAGCTATCTATACTACGGAAAAGTGGTGATAATCTGATTAGCCTACATTTCTATTTACAATTGGAGCTCTAGTTCAGTTTCGGTTGGGTGGTACCCAGATTAGGTGTCGTAAACACGAGACCAGAGTGGTTGAAGGATTTTTCGGGCTACCGAGACAATACATACTTGTGCTTGGTGTTATTGGCAAGGGAGCTCCTTATATTTCAGAGCTTGAGTTGAGGCCTCTACAGAACTTCCACAATATTTTATTTGAGAGGAACCTAGCCCCTTGCATAGCGTTCTGAAAATTGGTTACAAGAAATAGTGTTTGCAATTACAAAAGGATGATATAGGATAAATGCCTTCTACTTGAATTTCTTCAAAGCCAAAGGAACAAGGTGTTAGCTTAATGTGGTAATTAAATAAAAATTAGTACTGCGGTAAGAAGAGCATCAATGTTCACTGTCATTCTTACAATTCTAGTGGTTCGGAATTTCAATCATCCAAAACTGAAAATACATACCTTAGTTTAGTGCTAGACTGCTTAGTTACACATATTTAAAAGGAGTGTTAGTGCTTTTAAAATTATGCTAAAAAGCGCAAGTAAGATAACACCAACATGTAAACTGGTCTTTCATGCTGTACTTGATGACTCGTGACCATGTATGTGGACACGCTCCATGCATCTACAAAATGAAGGATATTGTAAATGAGATTAAACAGAAAAGATGGATGGCATAGAGTATATAGGAATTCGTGAGAGAGAGAGAGGAATGTAATGCTCTTTATGTCGCAATGGCATTACTAATTGAGCGTATTTTTTGAAAAACCCAAACCAATAATAATAAGCTGTAAATGGGCCACCATTAAATAGTTTGCTATAATGATAATTTTCTTTTATTGATCTTTGTATATTGTTTTCTAAATCTGTATTGCAGTTACACAGATTGAGAGGAGATATAGGTAGCACTTCCGTATTGTCTCCCAGTGTGAGAGAGCATATCTGAGTCCCAGTATGCCTTCAGATCTTGAGTGACAGATCAAGAATAGAATGGTGTATGTATGAATCTTCGCTTGAGCTAGTGAGTTCACTGACCATCCTACATCCTATACTCGCAGACTTTAATAGCACACGAGCGCGAGTTGACTCTAACAGCGCATTATAGAAATTATGTACATTGGAGAATGAGAATAAAGCCGACATAGGATGGAGGAAGTATTATATAATAGGAGTAGAGTTTAGGGAGGACTGGAAGAAGTACAGGGAAAATTTTTACAACCGGTGTTGGACGCGAGCAGATACGGAGGTTGATCCAACAATGAAGGAAAAGTTTACTTCTTTGGGAAGAAAGGTGAAGAAGGTATGTTGATGTCTCTATTCTATCGAGTTCTTTTGGTTTGATGATTCTTTCTTTGTTTCTGTAATATGTGAGGAATTAGAAGGACAAAGTTGAAACCATGCCTTTAGTTACATTGGAGACCGAAAATTAGATAAGCATTGTACTTGATTTAGGGGTGGGTTTAGTTTTCCAGGTCTACTAGGATTATACACTTCATTCTTGTTTATTCTTCTATTTATTAACATCTGAAAGAACAGGTAGAGATTCGTGTAAATATATTGTTTGAGTTTAGAGCTCTTTTACGGTTATGTTTGATCAGGAGTGAGCATTGCAGATTGATGATGAAATGGAAAGGCACAATGAACTTCTCAATGAGATACAAGACAATCCAACTGACGTTAATGCAATAGTTGCACGGAGGCGTAAAGACTTCACAGAGGAATTCTTTCGCCACCTTAACCTACTTTCGGAAATTTATGATAGTTTGGAGGATCGTGATGGTAATTACAATTGCACAATCATCTTCAGTGTTTGTATGTGGATTATTTTTCATGAAATCATTTGCTGATGACTTGATTTTGACGTTCATAAATATTTGAGAGTGTCTCTAGTTTTCTTTTCAATATGGTTTTTCAAATGCACAAAGTTTCACGAATTCTCCCAAATCTGACCTGTGCGACTTTGGGTGGAAACATATGATGTTCAATTGATCATTTCGAATTTTGAATTTCCATGACAGTTCTTTCGATCTGGAGATCGAGTTTTGTAGTTTGTTCACTTATCTTATATGATTGTCTGAATTTTTTTTATCAGCGATGGCCCGGCTGGGGGCTAGGTGTTTGTCTGCTGTCAGTGCTTATGATAACACACTGGAATATGTGGAGACATTAGATACTGCTCAGGCCAAATTTGATGAAATCCTAAATTCTCCTTCCATGGATGTAGCATGTGAGAAGATTAAAAGCCTTGCCAAGGCTAAGGCGCTTGATTCTTCATTAGTATTGTTGATAAACAGTGCTTGGGCTTCAGCAAAGGAGTCCACAACTATGAAAAACGAGGTATGGTCATTAACCTTGTACCTATAGCATATCATCGGTTTTCCTAATAATTATCATAATCAATCAATGCGTCAGAGAAGCACAACTCAAGCAAAGGATAAATCAGTATAATGCATTTAAAGAATACGCCAAGCACTGCATTGTTCTGTTCTTAGGTACTAATGGGTGTAAGTCATTATAGAGGGTGCACGAGATACTGTTGAATGAGTTCATCTTACGAGGATACGACTGTAGGTATCTTCAAACGAAAGAACACTTCTCTGACAGCTATCAAGTTTAATGGAATTTAGAATGATTTCAAAGGTTTCCTTTTGCACATTATCCCTTCAAGAAAGGAACATATATAGTGACGAAGACATGTGTAGATACTTGTTGATCGGTTGTAACTCCTACAAAAAATATATATTCTTCTATCGAGGTTCTGTGAGGCACTAGGACATCAACAACTCTGGCTTCTTCAAGCGAAGCTTCACCAATATTAAAATCTTTAACTATGAAGTTTTTTAGGCCTTCATGAACTTGAATGCTTGCTCTTCCTTGTCTGTTACCTCAAGATTAGATGTCTTAGTGCAGGTCAAAGACGTAATGTATCATTTGTACAAAGCCACAAAAAGCAGTCTTCGGAGCATTGCACCAAAAGAAATAAAACTACTCAAGCATTTGCTGAACATCACGATCCCGAAGAGCGATTCTCGGCATTGGCAACAGCTTTCTCCCCTGGAGATGGACCTGAAGCCAAGGACCCCAAAGCTGTATATACGTAAGAGAGCCCCTTTCTTTTTCAGATGATTTTTCATCAATAAAAACTTCAGTTACACTTTTGCGAGATAACATCTTCTGTATGCCCCTTTTTGTGGCTGAGCAGTACTCCGAAAGAGCTTCACAGGTGGATTAAGATCATGCTTGATGCGTACCATCTAAATGCGGAAGAAACCGACATTAGAGAAGCCAAGCAGATGACTCAGCCTGTGGTTATACAAAGGCTGTTCATCCTCAAGGAAACTATCGAACAGGAATATTTGGAACGAAGCACAGAGCAGGAGTCTCAAGCAGAGGGTGCTAAACCAGAGGAGTTCTAGTAGCACCCATATTCATTAATAGCTTTATTCTGGACGTCATCTTCTTGTTGGAGAAGAATCTTAGTTATTGATGTACATCTGGTGGAGTAGATCGAGAATCGGATTGGAATGCGCAAATTTGACAGCAAAGTCCAAGCATTGCAGATTTGAACTTTGGTGTCCGATATGAGCCCGTGGCCAGCCGTTTTGAAGAGAACGTGTGACAGACTAGACTCAGTGCTTCACCCTGACATATAGGCAATTGTAGCCGCATTCTAATGTTTACTAGCCCGAAACAGTGTTCTAAATTTTGAACAACTTTTCGATATTTTGTTATTTTCATATTTTGGTTGGTATTAAGATTCTTAACAAGCCTAGAGTTGTGTACTACATTTCATATTATTCAATGAACAACTTTGAAGTTTACTTATATTTTCGTGTGGATTCCAGTTTCATATGCTTTAAGGTTATCGTATGATTCCACTCTATATCATGCTGCATCAGTTGTAGAAAAAAAAAGTTAGTAGCCGATCTGGCATCTAGAGTTTTCGGCTTCTTAATTTGAATGAGGATATTGGGAATTCTCAAATTGTGTCCATTCATTGTACATCGTACGGTCAGTTTTCTTCAAGTACTATTCATATTTAATTTTAAATAAAAGTATTTAAAATGATTCCTACCGCACGATGTCGATAAACGGACATGACTCACAAAAAGGATTTGAAGAGGATCCTCATTGTCTTAATTTGGTTCTATGTCTTCGGGTTACCTTGGAAGAAATTGAACATTGGATCCATCAAGTGTTTTAAAAAAGGAAGCTTTAAGAGCACTTCCACTAGGGGTGGGATAGGCCGGCACACAGCCAAAAAATGACCCGGCACCTAGGGAAGTCTCTCCAGCCCATGGGATTGCCTGGCATCCAGCCCAAGCTGGTCTCCAGGCCAGTCCAAAATTGACAAACCTTGGGACCGGCCTGTATGACACCATGCTGACGTCAGGGATGGAAGAAGCCACGGAGGGAGAAGGCAAATGGCTTGAAAGTAATGGCCCGAATTCGTCGAAAAATCTGAAAAAAAATGCAACGATAGCATGTTTGCATCAACACAAAGGTTTCCAACACGATTTATATGTTAGAAACCATAAGAATAGGATTGAGAACTTACCCAGGTGAAATGCAAGAGATTTCATTGAGATTAGACCTTGAACTCATCGGAGTTGTCTGTTTTCCTTTGTCGGAATCACATGCAAGGAATTAAGCCCTCGAATTAACCGCAAAAATTGCAACACAACATGATTTAAAGCTCAAGAACACAGTACAGTGATAGAAACATCACCTTGGTTAGAGATTGAGAGCTCAAGCTCTCGGCTTTAATGGTAGGACCTTGCACCATGCACCGATGCCGCATGCAAGGCCATGGTTGGGTTCCTTGAGCTCCAGGGATTACAAAAATAATAATTTGTGTTTGATTTGTTGAAGGTTTTGAAGAGGAAGGAGGAGAACTCACATGAGTGAGAGAGAGAGAGAGAGAGAGAGAGAGAGAGAGAACCGGTTGGGGATGTAGAGGGAGAGTATAGAGGGTAGTGGAGGTTCCTGACTTTTTTTTTTTTAATAAAATTATTATTTTTATTATTTTATAATAAAAATAATAATATTTTCATAAAATTGACTAGGCTATCTTTTGTTAGAGGTGAAGATGCTTTGGCCTATTATTGTTCACTAGGGTCTATTACTGTTCACTTGAGCGGATAAATGTGATGGGTGCTGGTGCAAAGTCTTTAGGGGTGGAATTGCTCCAATGAAAAGGTTTCCCTAAGCTTTTTTATTAATAAAAAATCATCTACTAACTTTATTTAATAAAAAAATTTAAACTTTAATTAAAATACCTTCAATTTGAATAAAAAAGACAAAAATTTAACATAATAATTATAAAAGAAATAAAAAACAAAAACTAAGGTGCGAATCTCGCACGTCACATCACACACAATCAAACCCCTAACATAGATCCTCTCTAGATCTGATTGTAGGGATCAATAGATTTGGGCTATTGAAATTTGATACAACGGTTACAATTATTATAACTTTTAGGAAGGTCCTCTATTTGTAGTCGTTGGATCCAATTTCAATGGCCCGGATCTATTGATCCCTAAGTTCAAATCCGGGGAGGATCTGTGTTCTTCAAACCCCTACCCCCAACATCCTCTCTCTCTCTCTCTCTCTCTCTCTCTCTCTCTCATATTTCTATCATTTTCTCTCTCATTTCACATCCTCCATCCACATTAACTTTTTTTCTCTTCTTTCTCCTCACCCCTTTCACCTCTACCAAATCTCTTTCTACTCTCACTCTATAAAAAATATATATTTTATTATTTATTTATTTGATCCCTCCCTCCCTCCCTCACTCCCTTCTTTCACATATTTTTATCATTTTCTCTCTCATTTCACATCCTCCATCCACATTAACTTTTTCTTTTCTTTCTCCTCAGCCCTTTCACCTCTACCAAATCTCCTTCTACTCTCACTCTATGAAAAATATATTTTTAATTTTTGTATTTTATTATTTATTTATTTGATCATTGTTTCGTAATTTTTTTTAGAACAAATTAAGTAATAATATTACAGGACCAAAAACAAAACAAAAAATATTTTTTTCAATTTTATGAACACTAATATTATCACTATTTCTTAAACTAAACACTGACTATATCTTAAACCGAACACCAGTACTATCACTATTTCTTACACTGAACACGAGTATTATCACTATTTCGTAAACTAAACACTGACTATTTATTAAACGAACACTAGTATTATCATTGTTTTGTAAACTAAATACCAACTATTTCTTAAATGGAACACTAAACATTGACTATTTTTTAAACAGAACACTAGTATTATCACTATTTTGTAAACTAAACACTGACTAATTTTTAAAACGAACACTAATTGTGACAACCCGTCCCTAATTCTATGTTTTTACAAATTTTAAAAGCATGATTTTACGAAAATGCCCTAAGAGGCGAGGGTATTGACTTTCGTTGATCAACGTATAGTGAGGTGTATGAATTAATCCTTTAGTATTTTCCTGAAGTACTTGACATTACGGACTCGTAGGTGCAAGCAGAAGAGGATTTAGGGTTACAGTTAAAGTTTTACGAAACTGTAAACCCGAGAAGTACTTTTGTTTAGTCTTTATATATATATATATATATTATAACGTTTATATTTTTATCTTTTAGTTATTTTTAAAGTTGAAGAAAAAGAAAAAAAAATGGTGGAGAGGCTGCCTGATGGCAGCGAAGAAGAGGAGTGGATGAGAGCATGTAGAATCGGGAGAGAGGGTGGATGAATGGGAGAGGAGAGAGTGACCAATCAGAGAATGGGAAAAGGAGGGAAAAGAGGGAGAAGAAACTGAAGGGGAAAACCAGGTTTCCCCTTGACCCTCTTGACCTGACAAGCACCACGGTAAAATTCGATCATTTTTCCAGAAAATCAAAGCAAACCACCACCTAGAAACAATTTCCTAGCCTTCCCTCTTCCATGTCCATCCAAAATTAGAAGGAATTTGGTGGTAATTTTAGGAAGAATGCACCGATGGTGTGTGTAGGTGTATGGCGGCAATCCATAAAACGTGAAGCTAACTCAGCCAATTACCACCACTAGAGCTCTCCCCTAGAACCCAGGAACAAAACCCAGGCAGTGGTGGAGGCGTCGGAACAAGTTTGGAGGTCGAATCGAGCACACCTAAGTATAAGGTTTCCAACGGGTTTTAATGAAATTGAAGCTCTTCCCAGCCAAATTGGCCTTGGTCACAGGTATGAAAGTTACTCTACTTATTGAGATCTTCATTCCTGTAAATTTTGGTAATTTTTGAAAAATGTTGGATTTTCCTACGAGTCGGGGCGGCTAACCGCCACCCGCGGCATCGCATGGCCAAGGGATCTTCGATGTTATTCTTAGGCTAAATTAGATGTCTTGAGTTCATTTTTGGTAATTGTATAACGTAGGTTGATCGTTTAGACCTAAATTTATTAAGATATGTTACTTGGTAAAGATGTGAATCGACGATCCGACCGTTGGATCGTCACCAAAATTTAATATGTTATAGTATGTAATATTTGAGGACCATAGGAACTTACGGATCGGGAATCCGATATATGGATCTTCCCGAATTGGATTTGTAAGTTTATAAAATAAAATGTTAACCGCCACTTGGTTTTGGCAATTAGTGGAGATTTGACTGTTGGATCATATGGGAACTTTAGGATGTTGTTCTAGAAGTATAATGTGTATCTTTGGAAGTAAGGGATCTAAAATCCATGATGCGGATCTTCCGAATCAAACGACGTAGGGATGTGTGTTATGTAAGTTACATATTTTATTGATAAGAATTCTGAGTTGTGATTTGATAATTATTCTAGGTGCCAATCGTTCGTGACGCCTTTATGGTTGTGCTAGGAAATTGTAGCGTGAACTCCAGGTGAGTGGGCTTTTGTTTTCAGTATATGTGTATGCTTGGTATTTTTCCCAGAAAATGCGTTTAAATTGAATTATGTTTTGAAATGCCATGCCTCATGATTTATACTTAGATTATGAATTAGTATAGTATGCATAAATGTGATTTGACGATGTGGAAGCTCAGGTAAGTACCATGTGAGTTGTAGATTGTTTATGTGAATTGATGAGTATGTTGAGATGCATTGAGAACTCATAAACCTGCACCCTGGTGTTAGTGCTCCCGCCCATGGCCAGGGCACAGGCCTTCACGTGATGTTCACCTCCCGCACCGCACGCTCACCTTGGATCCAAGTTAGGTGCACAAGCTTGTTGTACAGATCACTATAGGTGGTTCCGACTCGTAGGTGACCCGCGATTATTTGCACAGTCTTCACGTGATCGTTCGTAGCACTTGAGCGTATGTATTTACATCCAGTCCTATCGTACATACCACTATATGTGGTTCCGACTCGTGTGCAGGTATACTTGATGAGTTATAGGTTTAGCCGTACATGCCACAATAGGTGGATCCGGCTGACATATTACTTTCATTGATTTACTTCACCTGGTCTACTCATTATTGATGCTGAGATATTTGACATGGCATATATATGGATTTTGCTAATTTGAGTATGGTTTCGATATATGTATATATTCTATTTTCTGGGAAATTATACAGGTTTTACGGCGAGGGGTTACTACCTTTAATAACTGAAATGGTTTTTGAAAATCTATGTTTTTGCCCACTCACACTTTCTGTTTTGCGCCCATCCAGGTTTAATTTGCTGAAAGTTCGTATCGACGAGGTTCTTGGCAAATCTCAGGATAGGTGGTTACTTCTGAGGGTATAATCCTTTTCCACTCAACTGTACTTACTTATGCTCCAACGTCAGGTGTGAAGTGGGTTCATTCCTGCTCACCAGTGCACTCTAGTATTTAGGCACTCTTAGGTTCAAATATATTCACATTTTCCACATCATCATACTTTATGGCTTCGTCACCTTCTACGTGTCGGCCAGCACAGCTCGATTCGGAGTCCTAGTGGACATTCCAAATCGGGGTGTGTCACTAGTACTATCACATTTCTCTCAATCAATTTATTTGACTTTTCTTTAATTTATTCAATACAAAAAAAAAAAGAAAAAAAAACAGAAATGAAGATGAGAAAAGCTAAGTGTGCTTTCGTTGGGGGATTCTATTCTAATATTCTCTTTCTATTTCTTTTTCACACAAACTATTAATTATTGTCCATTCCGATTCTGTCACCTATCATTTTGATTAGCAAAGATTATTTTTTTCTCTTGAAATTTCCTATAGCTACTCCACTCAGCCATTATTTTCTTTAAATTCTCTATAATAATTGCTCCACTCAATCTTTATTTCATTTTAAATTCTCTATGATAGATCCACCTAGCCTTTATTTCCTTTTGCATTGCCTATAATTGCGACACTCCGTCTTTATTTCCTTTTCATATAATTGTGGTCACTCAGCCTTATTTCTCTTCAAGTTCACTCTAATTGCTTACAATAAAATTATTTTCTTTAAATTCTCTATAATAATTGCTCCACTCAATCTTTATTTCATTTTAAATTCTCTATGATAGATCCACCTAGCCTTTATTTCCTTTTGCATTGCCTATAATTGCGACACTCGCGATAAAAGAGTTCTGTTTCCGAACAGATTTGTCCATCGGTAATGGAGATCACATTGGTTGGAATATAGGCCGATACGTCTCCGGCTTGTGTTTCAATGACGGGTAAGGCGGTCAAGCTACCTGCACCTGTCTGGTTGCTCCACTCAATCTTTATTTCATTTTAAATTCTCTATGATAGATCCACCTAGCCTTTATTTCCTTTTGCATTGCCTATAATTGCGACACTCCGTCTTTATTTCCTTTCATATAATTGTGGTCACTCAGCCTTATTTCTCTTCAAGTTCACTCTAATTGCTTACAATAAAATAAATACTTACAACATTTTAATACTATATGACATAATTTCCAAGTACAACTAGACTTAGTGATGAAGAAGAAGATATTATCTTTGACTTAGTTATAATTATATTTTTTTACAAAGTATTATATTGGATATACATGCCACGTAGGCAATTGCCATGTCAACGATAGCTTTAGAATTAAGTAGTATTCGAAATACCTTGTATAAATATATTTTCGCTCTCTCATTTGTAGTCGGTTGGATATGTTGTAATAAACACTTTCTCTCTAAAGAATTTTCTGAGCTCTATCTTCTCACACAAGATTGCTTTTCATGGTCTTCCTTCCTGTCAAGATTTATATTTCTGCAATTCACACAAGATAGTTAAGATGGTATCGAGCCAACTATGCTTGCGCGTTGATCTTGGCTGGGGTTTCCGCTGCTCTATTCGGTGAAGGTTTTTGGATTTCTTTTTCTTAAATTTTTAGATTCTTGATTTGTTCAATTTGTTTTGGGAATTTTTTTTTTCCGAATCTCGAAGTCGAGTATGCTTCCATACAATGTGCAATTCATACATGCTAAAGGCCAATACCAAGATAATATGTCGTATTGATTGATTTCTGTATATGGGTTGATGATTTCTTCAAGGCCGATGCCAAAAATCATATAACGATTGATGAATTAAGGTCGATAACCAGTGATTCATCTCTAGTGTTCGTCGATATTGTGAATTTCTTGTGTTTTGGAAGTTTATCTCACATATTTGTATTTGGGTATTTTCTGGGTTATTACTTTGCCTTTTGTGATTTGTATCTTGTGACATCATATCTAATTCTATTAAGCTCGAGAATCTTTTGGGTATGCTGACCATCAAGTTGAATGATGAAAATTTTATCAAGTGGAATTTTCAATTCTGTTATGTTCTTCGTGGATATGATATTTTTGATCACTTTATTGGTGAATCTGTTTGTCCACTAAAGTATGTTCTTTCTCTTACATTAGGAGTTACTACTGAAGTTACTACTGCGTATAAAACATGGGTTAAGGCTGATATGGCTCTTTTGAGTCTTCTTATTGCTACTTTAAGCGACGATGCTATGGAATATGTTGTGGGTTGCAAAACTGCACATGAAGTATGGACTGCTTTGCATGATCGGTATATTTCTGTGTCAAGTGCTAGTGTAAATCATCTGAAAATTGAGTTGCATACTATAGAGAAAGGGAGTGATAATGTTGATAAGTACTTGTTGAGATTGAAAACCAATAAGGATAAGTTGCTTGCTGCTGGTGAGAAAATTACAGATAATGACATTGTTATTACTGCCTTAACTGGTCTTCCAACTGATTTTGATATGATTCATACTGTAATATTAGCTAGAGACACACCCATTTCTCTCAAAGAATTCATGGCACAATTGTTGGGGGTAGAAAAAAGTTTGGAGAATAGGATGCAATATATGGTTCAAAGCATGGCTGCCATGTATGTTAATGGGTCAATTCCAACATCTGCTAGTGCTAATTTGAATATTCATCCTGCCTCTAATGCATCAGGTGTTTCCAGTGGTTCTATCTCTTTATCTCAGTTGCCATCAAACTTTGGTTTTGGTTTTGCTGCTCCTGATTCCTTTAATTCGGGGTCTAGTTCCAATGGTTCTCAGCCTTTTCCACCATTTTCAACTCATAATGCAAATGGTAATCAATTTGGTAATCAGGGGCATAGGTCTTTTGGTAACAATGGCTATCAATCTTTTGGTAATTCTTATGGTAATTCATCTGGCAATAATTTTGGTGGGAATAGTTACAGAGGCAAAGGCAATGGTGGTTATAGGCCTAAGTTCAATGGAAATAGGTCTAGATCTTGGTCTGGTAATACTTCATCTCGACAGCATGTCATTCCAGAATGTCAGATATGTTATAGGAAAGGTCACACTGCTGTCACTTGTTTGTTTCGTAGTGAAAATACTCAAGTTGTTCAAGAAGGTCAGATTTGTGGAAAATGAGGTCATATAGCCATTGACTACAGACATAAGGGTAACTATGCATATCAAGGTGCACCTCCTTCTCATTCTCTGAGTGCCAATTATGCATTTCAAGAGTACTTTTCTCAAGTTTCATATTCTGGTTTTCAGACCTCTCTACAGATGTTTGATCCCTCTGAATATCAAGGTGTCATTTCCAACTCTCTACACGGTCCTCCTGGTTTTCCACCTTCTGTGAATCAAGGCCAGTCCTCTGTTATTTTCATTGATAATCAAGCACATACCATGCAATCTCCTATAACTGCTTTGACTGCCTAAACCCCTTCCAATGATAGTTCATGGATAGTTAACACTGGAGCTTCACATCACATGAGTCCGGATGTCACTATTTTGAACTCAGCAGTTTCATATCAAGGAGATAAAAAAATTGTGGTGGCAATGGTGAAGGTTTGATTGTCAAACATGTTAGCACTACCATGTTACCTAGTTCTTCACATCCTTTGTATCTTAGAAATGTTTTGCATGTTCCTATGCTTATAGTGAATTTACTATTTGTGAAACAATTGTGCAAGGACAACCATAGTTGGTTTATTTGTGATGAGTCTGAGTTCTATGTGCAGGACAAAGCAACATGAATGATTCTTTACCAAGGAAAAAGTAGCAACAATGAGCTGTTTAGAATTCCTATGCATATTTTTCCAAAGCTGCTGACTCAAAGTTCATCTTCTTCCTCTGCATTCTTAGGCAAAGCTGTTACATCTTCAGTGTGGCATCACCGACTGGGGCATCCATCAAATGAAGTTTTGGAGAAAATGCTTAGGAGTTCTGATATTTCTTTTAGTTCTAATGAACATGGTCAGGTTTGTTCTAATTGTTTTAGTGGAAAAATGAGTAGATTGCCTTTTCAAGAGAAGCTAGATAGAATAGAAATTCCATTTCATAAGATCCATAGTGATATTTGGGGTCCTTCACCAGTTATGTCTATTGAAGGCTTCAGATATTATGTGTCGTTTGTAGATGAAGCTATTCAATTTGTATGGCTTTTTCCTTTACCGAATAAATCAGAAGTTTTTGGTACCTTTGTCAAATTTTCTGCTTATGTTGAGAATCAATTTCATACTAAGATAAAAGTTTTGTAATCTGATGGTGGTGGAGAATTTCTAAGTACTGTATTTAAAGATTATCTAGCTAGTAAGGGTATCTTGCCCCTACACTCCACAACAAAATGGTATTGTGGAAAGGAAACATCGCCATATTGTGGAGACTGGTATTACCTTATTAAATGTTGCAAGTATGCCACATAGATTTTGGTATCATGCCATTGCACATGCAGTATTTCTGATCAATTGTATGCCAAGTAGAAATCTTAGTATGGTTTCTCCATTTTAAAAGCTTTTTCACAAATCACCAGATATGGCTTCCTTTAAGATTTTTGGTTCTGTTATATACCCTTACTTCAGGCCATATAACACTCACAAGCTTCAACCCAGGTCTACTCAATGTGTGTTCTTAGGGTACTCTTTTGGTTATAAAGGTGTTGTTTGTTACAACATGTTAACAAGGAAACTGTTAATCTCCAGACATGTTATTCATGATGAGCGTTGTTTTCCATTTGTCAATATTAATTCTGAAGTAAACTTTTCATCTCAAGGATTTGGTCAGCCCTCTAATATTTCTTCCCGACCTGTTATAGTTCATTTGGATGATTTTTCTCTCAGTTAACATGCAGCACAGTCATTTGATCAATCTTAGGGTGCATCCATGAGTCCTCAATTTGATTTTGATGGCTTCCAGTCTCCTTCCACTGTTGATATTGGTTCTAGTTCACAACCTGCTCAAGTGTTTACACAGGATCATCCTATTGGTTCTTCCAGCTCAGTTGCTACTCTTTCCAACACTCCCCACATGTTGCCTGTCCATTCTGACCCACATTTAGCAGTGATGTTGCCTTCTGGTGATAGAGATTTACATGTTACTCAGAGCATTCAAACTAGGCTTCGAACTGGTGCCATTACTTGAAATGATTATTTAGCATTGATAGCTATATTTCCTGAAGTCACGTCTCTTATTTTAGATAAAGATTATTCTTTTTCTGGCGAATTCACTTTTATTGCAGATATCATTGATTCTGCAGAGCCTTCAACTTTTAAGACAGCTTCTCAAATTCCTCAGTGTCATGTAGCTATGCAAGAAGAGTATGATGCCCTTCAAACACAAGGTACATGGACTCTAGTACCTTCTCCACATGATAAAAACATAATTGGTTGTAAGTGGGTATATAAACTGAAGAGAAATCTTGATGGGTCTATTTCTAGATATAAAGCTAGATTAGTTACCCAAGGATTAGTTGCCCAAGGTTTCAGTCAAGAAAAAGGCTTAGAATAAACCGAGACTTTTAGTCCCGTAGTTAGGCACACTACTATAAGAATGCTCTTGGCTTTAGCTACAACACATAAGTGGTCACTTCGACAACTTGATGTAAAAAATGTTTTTTTGCATGGGGAGTTACATGAGGAGGTTTATATGAAACAACCTCCTGGTTTTGTTGATTCCAAATGTCCTACACATGTTTGTAAGCTAGTGAAATCCCTTTATGGCCTTAAACAGGCTCCACGAGCTTGGAATGCCAAGTTTACAAGTTATCTGGCAGTGATTGGTTTTCAGGTTTCTCTTTCAGATTCTAGCTTATTTGTGAAACAAGTTGGGTCTGATGTCATTATATTACTACTCTATGTAGATGATATAATTCTTACCGGCTCCAATCCTGTTTTGATTCAATCTGTTGTTGATGATTTGGGAGGTGTGTTTGATCTTAAAGATATGGGCAAGTTTACCTATTTTCTATGTTTGCAAATGCAGTACAAATCAAATGGGGATCTCTTTGTGCATCAAGAGAAATATGTTAAGGATTTGCTTCACAAAGCTGGAATGGATAATTGCAAACCTTGTGCCACACCTTGTAAACCTCATACCTCTGTGTTTCTTCCTAAGGGTGAAGTCTTGGCATAACCCACACAATATAGGAGTCTTGTGGGAGCATTATAGTACCTTACTTTCACAAGGCTCGACATAACTTTTGCAGTTAATAATGTTTGTCAGTTTATGAATGCTCCTACTGATATACATTTTGGTTTGGTTAAAAGAATTCTTCGCTACTTGCATGGTACAATAAAATGTGGTTTAACATTTACTGTTGGCAGTGGGATTGATATTAAAGGATATAGTGATTCGGATTGGGCTGCAGATGTGAACACCAGGAGATCTATTACAGGATATGTTGTTTATCTTGGTGATAATCATGTTTCCTGGCACTCCAAGAAACAAAGTTCCGTGTCCCGAAGTTCCACTGAAGCTGAATATAAAGCCCTTGCACATGCTGCTGTGGATATAGCTTGGATTCGACTTCTGCTTAAAGATATGTGTGCTACTATTCCTAATCCTCCCCTGTTATTGTGTGATAATTAGTCTGCCATAGCCTTAAGCATGAATCATATTCATCATTCAAGGATCAAGCATTTGGAAACTGACTTTCATTTTGTTCGAGAATGGGTGCAAAAGGGTGATCTTGATGTTCAATATGTGCCTACACAGGATCAAGTGGCTGACATCCTTACAAAAGGACTTCATGGTCTTGATTTTCTCAAACATTGTCACAATCTTAATCTAGCACATTCTGGTTAAAATTGAGGGGGGATATTGGATATACATGCCACGTAGGCAATTGCCATGTCAACGATAGCTTTAGAATTAAGTAGTCTTCGAAATACCTTGTATAAATATATTTTCCCTCTCTCATTTGTAGCCAGTTGGATATGTTGTAATAAACACTTTCTCTCTAAAGGATTTTCTGAGCTCTTTCTTCTCACACAAGATTGCTTTTCATGGTCTTCCTTCCTGTCAAGATTTATATTTCTGCAATTCACACAAGATAGTTAAGATATTATACTATATATATATATATATATATATAATTATGTATGTAATATATTAAGTTATTTAGGTCTTGTGAGATTTCACCTCATGCTTAGGCGGGGTTATCCATGGAACACCTCGCCTACGCCTCCGTACATTGGATCTATCATAAGGGATGTGATTTCAACAAACTATTTTTATTCTATGGCTGGCTTTTGGATTAAATGAATCAAAAGAAAATAAAGGAACATAAATAAATAGAGTTGTGCAGAAATAAAAGAAAATGCATGTCTCACCGTCGTCCATCCCTACGTTGTAAAACACTTCTTACGGCATTAAAAGTGTTCCCTCGTTTTATTTTGGTAGAAAAAGTTCAAGTTATTTTACACTAAATTCATCTAAGCTACAAGGAGGGAAATTCGAACACAGGACCTCAAGTGAATGGTCGAATGTCTTAATCAATTGAGTTACAAATCATTTATCACAAAACTGTTACTAGTACTATCCGATTATTTTTGCTCCCAACAACTGTTTGGTGATGCTCAGTATGATTCTTGAAGTCGTATCCTGGCATATGTTGTACTGCAAGTGTATGGTACTGCAACTCTTCTCTGTTTCGTACTACTAAAAGCAGGGCAAACGGCGTGTAGGGTTTGCATGTTAAGCGTGAGTGATCGGCATCTTTTTCCACATTGTTCATGTGTTTTCGATTTGTCTGTTGCTCCATTTGGGATTACATAAGGATAATACTGGGAAGTAACGTCCATTTGTTTTAGGTCATTCACTTTGTCTTTTGCCTTTCACCTAACAAACAGAGAGAAATAAAGAAAAGCTGTCCCGCTTTAGTAGTTGACAAGTGACTTTCGTTATGTATCGTATACATGATTTGTTTTTCAATTTGAAAATTTGCTAGCTATGAATAATTAGCCAAGTTGTAAACCCTTGAGTGTCTCGTACGTCACATATGCTCACTCATGTTGGATCATATATAGATGTTGGATGCTTACCTCCTTTTTTATTTAAAAGCAAACCAATTGGTGGGTTCGTCATGACACTCCATCAGGGGTTGGAAAGAGTCACAAAGGTATTTCAGCCTTATTCTGACCACTATTGTGTGATTCATCAGTGCCAAGAATCGAATTCAAGACGTGTCGTGTTAGGTGCTGACATAAGTTGGAAAAGATTTGAAGCTTTGGCTATACCTCTTACATTGTGGTCTCAACGATAGATGAAACTAACACAAATTCCAAATAGCATTGTTAAAATTGGATTAAAGAACCCATTGTTTTATCTAATTTATATTGCTCGTGTTGGAAATAAAATATGAAGTATAGAACAAAGAGAGAATAGATAGAGGGACGAGACAAGATTAAAAGGAGAATCAAAGTGTTTTTTCTTCTTATTAGAGTGTTTGTTTATAGGCTTGGAGTTTTAAATATTTTTCCTTTTAACAATAGTATTTTGGGGTGTGATATCCACACACCCCATTATTTCTCACATACCTTTTTAATTTTCGACCGTCGGATCGGATGAATTGAAAAAGATCAACGGACATAAATTATTAAGGGGTGTGTGAGAGAAGTAAAATGGGATGTGTTGATAGCACACCTCTAGTAATTTATATGGTTTGTTTTAAAAACAAGCCTAATAGGATTATTAGTCCCGTTGTACTAGAGTAGTTGAAAGATAGTCCCTGTGATGAAAAAATTAGGATTTAAGTTCCTGTGGTGAAGTCTATTAGGATTTAGAACCAAAATTGAAAGTTTTGTAACTCTCTATTAATTATTAGTACGTGAGCCACACATATAAGGCTAAAACAAAACTCTTCGTTAAATGTTGGGTGTGAAGCTTACATGTGATGCTAATATTATCTTTTTAGCCTTACATGTGAGCCTTATAGGCTAACAATTAACGAATAGTTAGCGAAATTTTCATTTTGGGTCTAAATTTGAACAAACTTCTATCATAGGACATAAATTCTAATTTCTTTAAGGGGCAATTTCCGTTTATCGTATCACTACGAGGCCTATCAATCCAATAAAGCAATGTGTGGCTGGTAATTATCTGAACCATAAAGGTTAATTATGTCATTAAAGCATACTTGTACGAATGATTTTCCTACGTTGTACTGCTACAACTCCCAAGCTCCCTCCTATATTTCTGAGCGATCGATATCCTTCACAGCTTGTAATGGGAAGGCAACCCGAAGCTTCTGGCAATCAGTAAAAGTGCGCGTTAACCATCCGTCATCGGAGAAAATTCAGGCGGCGCAGCCAGCTTTCCGGCGACCTGGTCAAACTTGGATTTCCAATCCATTTCGGTAAATTGCAATCATTCCTTCTCAAATTTTAACTTGAATTGCAATTTACTAGTTGGTAAAGTAGACTACAATTTCGAAGTTTTCTGTTTGGTTGCTGAGAAAATTTGGAAAAGAAAATAGAAATGGATATAGAGACGTTGTCCGTAAGTTTGTGTGCATAAATTGTATGTATGCTTAGTTTTTACAATGGTTATGCGTTGACTCTGTTTTGAGTTCTTGATTACCAAAAATTTTGAAGCTTTTATTGCACTATGAAATCGATATCGAAAAATAGAAGTTGCAGATGTGGAAGGACTGAAAATTTTGGTATGTTTTTGGTTGAAGTTGAAGATGGAGAAGGAACAAGAGATTGAGTGGATCAAAGCTCAGAACATTGGAATAAGCGTAGACCTTGTTGCTGCAGCCAAACAGCAGCTTCAGTTTCTTGCTGCTGTTGATCGGAATCGATATCTCTATGAAGGGCCTGCTCTTGAAAGGGCAATCTATAGGTACAACAAATCCTGCAGATTTTTTGCTTTGTAGCTTTGGTTCAGTTCTTGTGTTTTTGGGTGCTTTAGAGTTTAGATTCTTGGCCATTATTAGATCACATTTCTCGGTTTTGTTTTTTTTAGTTTGAATGGTTTGTGTTCTGGTTTCCTATTGTTTTCAATTCGGGGTTTTTGAAATGTTTGCTTAGTTTGAGCTTATTGGGTTTGCAATCATATACTTTGTCTGGCCATTTGATCTTTATATGTCAAATTGGAATTACAGGTACAATGCTTGTTGGCTCCCGATGCTTGCCAAACATTCAGAGTCCCAGATTTCTGAAGGACCTTTGGTTGTACCTCTTGATTGTGAATGGATTTGGCATTGTCACAGGCTAAATCCAGTATGCTTCTCTGGCTGAACTGTTGTAGTTTTGGTTATCTTTAACCGACAGATTGAATTGCTAAGCTTTGCGCTTTGAATATGTTTCAGGTTCAATACAAGATCGACTGTGAGAAACTTTATGGAAAGATCCTTGACAATTCTAATGTTTTATCGTCTGTTCAAGACTCTTGTAAAAGGCAAACTGAAGAAACTTGGAATAGTCTGTATCCAGAAGAACCATACGACTTAGACTTAAAGAAGGTGTTCTCAGAGGATATATCTGAAAGATCTGCTCGACTTGAAAAAAGCACCAAATATGATCTGGTTTCAGCTGTTAAAAGACAGAGTCCTTTCTTTTACCAGGTAATATGAGATTGTGGCCAATACATTTGTTAATATACTTATTCTAAGTTATCAAGGGGTCCATCTTTGATGACTAATTCAGATTCTAGATCACTTTGTATGCAAGTATTTTTGAGAGTTTGGGGGGTTCCGATATAAGGGAACATTGTTGTATCTATAGGATCATCCAGTGTTATCATTAATTTCTCTTGGACTGTTCTTATATGTTTCCATTATGTGGTTATACAAGGAACTCCGTTTTGAGAACTTTTTGTTTGGAATACTTTCTTCTTTATTATTGGTGTTGTGAGGCCATCCATAGATTTCTATGTGGTTACTGGATCCAAGGACAGTTCATATCATATGCCATTACCCGCTTGCATTTTAGGTTTAGTTGCATAACGTATATACAAACACCTACACCTACACCTACACCCACAAGTAAATATCAGACCTGCCAGAATGGTTCTCCCCTTTAACATTCCATTGTTCTTTTTTCATTTTCTTTGCTTCTTCTGGCTTATGTGTTTTTCTTTATGTTTGGCAGGTATCCAGACCCCACATGAACCATGATCTATTTATCGAAGGGGCTGTGGCTAGATATAAAGGCTTTCTTCATCTAATCAAGAGAAACAGAGAGAAGTCTGTAAAACGTTTCTGTGTTCCGACATACGATGTTGACCTTATCTGGCATACTCACCAATTGCATCCTGTATCTTATTGTAAAGACCTGAATGAACTAATGGGCAAGGTATTGGAGCATGATGACATGGACTCTGACAGAACTAAAGGGAAGAAACTTGATGTTGGGTTTTCTGGAACTACCAAGCAATGGGAAGAGACCTTTGGTATCAGGTATTGGAAGGCAGGAGCAATGCATAGAGGTAGTGCTCCATGTCCTGTTATGACCACTCCTTACAAGTCTAGCATGATGAGCAAGGATGTAGCTGCATCCATCGAGTATCAGAAACTAATTCAGCTTCCAGAGGTTAAATCTGTGGAGGTAGATTTCTTTCAATCAAATGCTTTTTTCCCTTTTATTTTCTTTGCAATAAAGAAATATTATAGAAATGACAGGAAGCGAAGCCCCCAATTTAAACATAGAACTTTTGTTTGGTGAATATAAACATTGAACTTTTGTTCGATGAAAATATAAACATTTAACTTTGTCTACAGCATCTTGCTTGTGGCTTCTCACTTTAATCGTTGACCTCATTAAAGGCAGCTGATGACTTTTGAAGTGCCTTTGTAGGAGTTTAGAAATGTTTCATCATTTCATTCTTCAGATTCATAATGTACGTGTCGAGATTGAATGTTTCTCCTCCAGTGAAAACTTAGAACCAAGATAGTACCTTCAGCAAATGTTGAGCATGCTTTTGAATTCAGACTGTTGATATATAACTAAGCACAACAGCTGGATTTCATTTCTGTTACACCTCAATTA